TTGTGTGGGCAGCTAAGTACCGAGTGGGCGATGCGACACTTCGGCTGTCATCCTGCATACATCATAGCTATCTGTAAGCAACTTCTTTCTGTAATCTCAGGTTTCATATCACTTCTTAAATGGTGGTCATATTAAATAATTTATAAAAATAATAAAAATGTACAAGAAGTTGGTTAAAAAAGTATATAAATTAATATATTTCTGCCCTGATGATGTCTGAATTGCCGAAACGTAGGCAGGTTAACTGTTCACCTGTATGTTTAAGACTCAATGCTTTTTGGGTGGGAATTTTTCATTTATTTTGTACATAAATTTATTCGGTGTATTGAAATATATTTAATGTTCATGAAGGAAAAAGTAATAAAATAACGGTAGTAAAAATTTGCTGAAACGGAGTGCATTCTAGAGTTGACACAACTCAAAAAACGAACCCAATTTTGCGTGATCGCAACCATGAGCCATAGTAATGCTTAAGTGAGAGCGATACATTGTAAATTAAAAATGTCTATCGTCAGTAGCATAAGAAAAACAAGTATGAAACTTATAGAATAGGTATATATTATTATTTTAGACTAGAGACGTATATTACTATTATTATTATTGATCATTTTCGTGGACTCTAGAAAAAATCTGAGAGGAAGACATAATATTTTAATCGAAGATCCAAAGGAGTCTTCTAACTCGATTGTTATTAGTAATTGATTTACATGTTCTGCGGACTTAAAGGTTTTCTTGTTCCATTGTCAAAAGTAGGATGAATAAAATTTTATGCATGGTGATGAACAACATCACTCATCTACAGTATAACTACCAGAGGTTATAATCGCTTATGATTTACTTAAATTATTCACAATTATTCCTATAACAAATAACCTTCTCTTTTGTTACTTGATTAATCGTAGTAATACACTTTAACAACAAAAAAATTACTAACGAACCATAGCATAGATTATGCAAGAAACAGCCGCACAGCAAAAGCCTGTCAGTTTAATTTTATTAGAAAATGCGGTTTTGAAATTTACTAGTCAATCTTGGGCTTGAGCATTTTCAAAAATAGAAACTAGAAAATTTATTTCATACATTACATCTTGGTCTTAAACATGTAATACAAATTTAATGGAAAATCTAGTCTATAAAATAAAAAAATCGTGGTTAATTCTATTTTATGAATAATTTTTATTTAGCACTTATGCACAGGCTTTTGTAATGTGGCAGTCGACATGTTTTTATTTAGTAGATTTGTTTTGGGTAATCTCATATTATACTAATATACTTTAGGCTAAATATTTAAAATGACTTCAATCTTTCTTCCTCGACAGGTTATCTGTAGATTCCTCTATCTTTTATTTTTTCCCTCAACTTGCGGTCGTACCACAAGGTAGTGTTTTAAGTCCCCTTCTCTTTTCTGTCTACACATCTGATATCCCCAAGCACCCTTGCACCACCCTCTATAGTTTCACTGACTACACTTCAATTATCTCATCCTACCAAAATCCTACTATTGCTTCAGTTGCCCTCCAAAATCATATCCACGACCTAGAAAAATGGTTCAACAAATGGAGAATCAAAGTTAATGGCAGCAAGTCAAGTCATGTTAGCTTCTCACTGAGAAAGATTTCGATTCAAAAGAAAGATCGTTTCAATAGAAAACAAGCCAATTCCCTCAAAAAATCATATACGGTATCTCGGACTATACTTGGACAAAAAATTCACCTGGAACATACACATTAAATTAAAAAGACAAGAACTGACTAGACGATACTGTCACATCTTTTGGATTACAGATCTCCACTCAACATACTAAACAAGCGACTAATCTACACCACTATACTATCTACATTTGGACATACAGCAGCTTTATGGTTTATGGTTCCACGAAACACATCCTCACAAACAAAATACAAACCGTAAAGTCCAGTTCTTCTAAAAGTTCTTCGAAAAATTGTATATTTCAAATCATACCATACACAGCGACATAAACATTCCAACAGTAAAAACTCAAATACATAACAAATACACCTCATTACACACTTCAACTATTAATCACCCTAATCCACTTGTCCTCTCTCTTTCTTCCTCCCTGTTATCAAAGGAGCCTCAAAGAAGACTAAAAAGCCAGTGGTCTCGAGATCTGCTCTCAATACGAAAAATATTTCAAGAAATAGCAAACAGAATGAACGACAGCACATTTGTCAGATGTGTCCAAAAACGCAGTTGCAAATGTAGTATAAAATAAAAATTAAAAAAAGGAAAAATAAGGTAATTTTGCATAGCCCTGTTTTAGGACCTTCTAAATTTTGAAATTAAAATAAATGGATCTTATTCTTTCCTTTTCTTAGTGAGATGTGAATAACTCGAGCAACGCGACCTTGCAGCGTACATCACAACCAATTGTGACCAACAGCTGACAACGTTAAAACATCCTGACGAGCTGCGTGGAGACATAAAAAATGTCAGTTCAACAGCCGCTGATGTCCTTGTCATCTTAGCCCAGGCGAAAATCCTGTCCTCGTCCTTCATTTGATGAATCTATTTTTCTTTTTCGGGGGTCCAGGTTAATGTATAACTTTTTCCTGGATGTCGGATCAATAATATTCAACTATTGTATGTTATAAGTATTATATATATTAATAACGTATACAGTAAAGATTTATTCACTTTCCCACCACTACTAGGTGAGGTAAGTATAGCGATCGAAGTTTTAATGTGCGGTTTTAAACGAATCTCAATTTTAGAGCTGTCGGAGTCCGAAAAATACATCTTCAGTCACTGATATGTCTTTTTGTGCCAATATTATCTCGGAAACGGGAAGGAAAATAAATCGTCTAAATCGAATCAGTTTTAGCAAAGTTACAGTGTAATGAATTTTATATACTGATTTTAATAATGTGCCTATTCATGGAGTGCAGAGAAGAATTAATTCAGCTAATAGGTATTATTTTGGCCTAGCTAAAATTTTAAGAAGTCACCTGCTGGCTAGATCCATTAAGATCGCTCTGTACAAATCTCCTATTAGACCTGTACTGACATATGGTCATTATCAGGAAGAGACGCCATCAGATTGCAGATTTTCTAGAGGAAAATCCTGAGAAGAATAAGAATATCTGGCCCTATAAAAGTTGAAAATCGGTATAGGCAAAGGCATAATGCAGAGTTGTACCAAATTTACCAGGAACCGATTGGCTGGGACGTTGCAAGGATGGATGGGGACTCACCAATCAAGCAGCTACTGTTCGGGTATGTGGATGGCAGAAGAAAGAGTTGACTGAGATGGGCAGATGAGATGGAAGCCAACGCAGAGAAGCTTCTGAACACTAGAGTCAAGCAGACCCTTGCACAAGACAAAGAGAAATGGAGGAGACGTATTGATGCGGCTAAGACCCGTACCGTGTTATAGTGCCTTTGATGATGATGATGATGATGATGATAATTGTTTTAGTTCATCAAAGAAATCTCACTATTATCATTTCTCAGACTGGTTTATTTTTATTGTTTAAGAACAAATTCAAAGTTCCATAAATTTGTTTAAAATCATTTCAGTGCACACACCAAATTTTTTTTTTTTTAGTTTTCCAATGAATTAAAGTAATATAATTAAAGGCAATTAAATTGAACACATCATTTTACTATTTCATGTTGTCTGTTTTTATTTTTTAATTGAAAACTTATTTAGGCGCGTTTTGTACTTTACGTGGAGAGAGAATTGGATTGAGCCGTCAGATTTCCGATCTGTAACGCACGAGTAAAATCGGATGGAGTCAACTAATTGAAGTGTTTTTGCATATTGATTACAATATCTCAAAAACTAAAAAATATGACCTCCATATTGAGAAATATCCATCATTCCATCTTCTTTGTAATAAACTATTATTCAAAATTTATTGGGCGAAAAGGAAAAAATAATGTCGAAAAACAAATGATAACGACTTTTATGGAAGAGATTAAAATATCTCAGAAATTAAAAATTGGACATGCATACTGTAAGCGAGAGAAATATTATAATAATATATTTTAAGGCTATAAAATATTTAAATAAGATAATAATTTTAGACGTGCCATGTAATTTATAAAATCCTCAACCCCTTCTTTTTCTCTTCTTACTGCAATCAACTTACTTTATCACAACACTTCGCTTATACCTTGATAAAATATTAATCACAAACCAATCATAGTCATAAGGTATTTTGATATTAGTTACTTTTCATGTAATTGTAATAAAATTGACTGTTTCTCCACAAACGAATTCATAACATATTCTTTATATTTACTAAAGCGCACTCTATAATGTTGCTATATTATATTCCTATTAGTTATTACTAATCGAAAAATTACTTCATTTAATTTTAGTCTTAGCTGTTGTAGAGCCTACTTTTTTTTGTTTATTTTTTATTATTTCTTAATGATATTTACAACTGTAGAAAAGAAATACATCTAGTAAATTTTAACATATGGATATAATCACGTGAAAACACTTGCTAAGTAACTGCCCAATCGTAGCACTCTAATGATATGTCTACATTAGGAAATCACGGGACCATCTTCTTTTCAGACGCCTCGGAGGGCTAGGATGATTCTTAAGTTTATTATGGAAGGATAGGTATCTGGATTGGGCCAGATCTGAAACATAAACGTCATTATGGGTAGTTTTATTTGTAACAAAGTAGGGAGCATTGAGGATTTTACGAAGGATTTTGGATTGTAAGGATTGGATACGAGAGGAATTCGATGGTTTAGTTGATCCCCATATCTCAACTCCGTAAGTCCAAATAGGCCTTATTACAGTCATGTATATGAGTCTTTTTTAATTAATTGGAAGTTTATAGCGTTTGTCTAGTAAGTCCTGAAGTAATCGGAAACGTCGAACGGTTTCTTGTCGTTTCAGTCTGGTATGAGGACTTCTTTTTTTAATTAATTATTGTATACTATTATTATTATTTATTCTTTTTATATAATATATAGAAACCTGTTTTTAATAATATCTGACGATAAGATGGACGTAATTAACAAGATTGGGAACACCTTCCAATTGAGATCCTACTCACAGCAATGACCTGGTATTGAGCTGACTTTAGGGCCAATGCCAAAATCATCAGACGCCCTAAAGACCTCTTAGACGCTCGCCTACTTAACCTGCGGCCTACTGACACTCTTCGCTCACGAGAGTCGATTTTCTCGAGGAAATTAAAATCTTCAACCACGAATACCTTGGAATATGTTCATTAGATTTAATTTTAATGAATTCTACATAAATGTAATATCCAATACATTTTGTAAATTTACGAAATTAGAGTTATAATAGTATGCTGGGTACACCTTAATACAATGTTATACCTTATACCTCGTAATTAGGATCATTCTTTGAATTTCGGAAATAAATCATAAGATTATTCCCCGAATGAATTATTTCCGGAATAATCTTTATTTCTGAAATAATATTTCAAATCGTCAATGAAATAATCTCGATGAAATAACTACTAAATTTATTTTTGAAATAAATATTTCAATATTTTAACATTTTTTGGGATAAAGTAATTTATTTCGAAATGCGTTATTTCTGTTTAATTATTTTTAGATTTTTTATTTTATTATTTATTTTTTTTACACGAATCGGCCAGCAAGGACCACGCGAATATCATTTCCGTTTCCTCTTCATACCCTTCCTCTTACTCCAATACTCTCTCATCCTCCTGGACTGTTCCTATCGCTCTTCCTTAGTCCATTTCCTCCCTCCTCTCTTCCTCCCACCCACAAGAACCCTAACTCATTTCAGTTTTTCCCTAAAAAGCTCTCTATCCAAGCAATCTTTATCCGTGATTTTTAGCCTGTCTAGTTCCTCTTTTATTTGTTTTACATATCCCCCCATACTTTTATAGCTGCAAACTTTGTCAAAACCTTCCTTGTTCAGTCTTTCACTATTCATCCTGACCATGTACCCGTAGAACCTCAGTCTTCTGGTCCTGACGACTGTTTCCAAATCTTCCAAATTTCTGTATATTTCAGAATTATTTATTTCATAAGTAAATTATTGCAAAAAATCAAGAAATAAATCTTTCAGAAATAACACTGTTCTGAAATAACATTAAAAAAATTACCAATATGCACTATTTAGTTTTCTGCGGTTAGGCAGCCTTTAGACTCCTTACTTAATGCTGTTTGATACATATTAATCTTTGTCAAGGATGAATGTGCCCGAGTTTATATCGTTTTTTTCCAATGGCCATTTTTCGTTACCTGCGCTTAGGCGGACTATAGAATTCATATTTACTACTGTTTGAGATATATTAATCTTTGTCGAGGCTGAGTGGCCGAATCCATTTCGTTTTCTCGGATGTCACTTTTCGCTTTGTGCGATTGGGCGGACTTAAGACTCTACTTAATGCTGTTTGAGACATATTAATCTTAATAGAGTACTTTTTACCATAATGATTACTTTTCGGATTTAATCAGTGTAGACTGTTATGTTTTCGGGGGCTCTTTTTATAAAAATATTGTCGAATTTGAGATTGCGCCCCCCCCCCTTCTCCACATCGACGTTTTGTTAATTTTCGGATTTAATCGATATTAGAGTCGACTAATAGGTTTTGAGGGGCGCTTTTTATAAAAATAATGTCGGATTAGAGATAGTGCCCCCGGGCATCAACTTTTTGTAACTTTTTTTGTAAGAATAAAGAAGCAAATTTATCATTTATCATTCTAATACTTATTTTATTTTATCATACATTGATGGATGTGAAGATATCTAAATTACATATCTTGATATTCGCAGTTGTGGGGAAGGCTAGCTATATAAAGGTGCGCTGCCAGGAGGAAAAGATATCGTTGAGTAATCGCTTGTAAATTCAGGGAGCGTGCTTGCCAATGTAATTACAAGGAAAATATTCCGTCAACGTGATCCCGCATCAACCAAAAGAAAATTTACAAATAACAATCTCCTCTACATTGGTTAGATTTAATGTCTTATTTGAACTAAAGAAGAGGTAAATTTATTTTAAAACATATGAGGAAGAATAAAAAAAAATAATTCTCATGTTTGTTGATTTTAAAATAGACCCCTTTTTATCAAATTATTAATATCCGTTTAAAACTTCGTGAGTGGCTGCATTTTATCGTAGCCAACAACTGTTTTATCAATGAAAACTCTCAGGGTTTTTATTATGATCCGAATTCGATATAGGAGGTACTTAGGTAAGTAGAATTTAAAGTTTTTTTTAGTTCATGATAGAACGAAGTTTTTACTAAGATGTACCATTTAAAAGTTATAGGTCATAAACTGAAAAAGTCAGATGAAAATAAGAGAATTTAGAACTTAAAAACCCACTCCCCTCCATGGTCCAATATTTATAACGGTAAAAACTTAGAATATTATTACCTGACGTTCAATAATAGATTAAATCTATATTAGATTTCCAATACTTACTTCTAGCCGTGATGACCAAAGGATTGTTGGAAAAGTAATTTCTGTCTTTTTGTTTAGGTTAATCCAAACGGATCAATATTTTTGTAGGCTACTATGGAGGGTGCCGATAACCCCCAAGCTCGATGGCGCATGAAGCTTTCCCCCTCCTGTTCTCAACCTATTTTATTGCTATCCTCTTCTTAAAAATAGTGGAAACAAAAGTATCATTTAAAAATTTGTAGATTATATACAATTAAACATCTGGTTGTCAATTCCATGTTTTCATTTGTCTTTTGATTTTAAACTTTTCATTTATAAAATTCAAAACCGTCGAAATGTGCCTCGTCCCCCAGAAAAATTCAAAACTCCGCCAAAATGTGCTCCCCTCAAAATCTTTGAAGGCGCAAGTTGCTCCATGAAAACCCGTTCTGGGCACCCCTGAGCCGCTACATTATTTAATCTCAAAATATCCCACTTATCATCTGTGCTTCTTAGCCTATGAGTGTTGATCAATAAAGTACAGTTCGTGAAATTTACATGTTTAACTGACCAAAAGATTAATTTCTGTATTAAAACTTTTATTTTTAATTAATATGCTCTACTTGGGCAAACGATTGATATGGACATACCACATAAAACAAAAAAGAAAAGAACTTTTTCAGCAATATGAACTTCTTTCTAGGCTTCTTGACAGACGTCCTAAATTATCGGTAGGTAATAAATTAACGATTTACAAAGTTCTCATCAAACCAATTAGGGTATATATTATCGAGCTATAGGAAATAACAAAGACATCAAATTTAAAAATAATTCAGTCATTTCAGTCAAAAGTTCTCCGGAAAATTGTATAAGCACTTTTTTATGTTTCAAACCTTACGTTACACACTGACCTTGGCACTGTTTTCATCATGGCAACTGCCACAGACTGCTTTAATAATTTTCATTCAGACTGACTCTAAACTCCAATCCACTTACTCAAGCTCTATCAACAGTCACAAATACATATAATCCGCCCAGAAGACTGCTGAGGCGCTGGCCAAGAGACTTACTGCTTTGAACCACATGCTGTGATATCTTTTGCTTTTACGATATCATGTTAGCTTAATTTAATTTTTTTATACATAAATATATATATATTTGTGTCTTTGTTTCGTTATATTATCTTTTGCTATGTTTTGTTTTCTTTGATATCATATTTGCTGAAAACAGAAGTAGATGGCAAATTTAATGTATGCCAAACATATGTGTAACTTGTAAATAAAAATAAAATAATGAATATGCGTATTAAATTAAAACTAGATTTTTTTTTTCTTTAATACACTCACGGTTAATCGTCTATTTCTCCTTATCTACAATTTCTCAGTATCGACTAGGACGAATAGGCAGGCTTCAACTGCATATATTTACAATCGGTAAATAAGGAATTACAATTGTCACTAATAAAAGCTTCGATAAAATACTCTGCCGCTCCTTTTTATTCTTAAGCGACACCTTTCAAAGCTTCCTCGAAGACTGTAACGACCAAGGTGTGGCTTACGTCGCATGTCTGCCGTCTTCCACTTAAGGACACCGCCGGATAAGACATGCGCCACTCTAAGAAGCAGAGGACAAACACCAAAGCGGATAAGGTATAGATCAAGTGCAGTAATTAGTGTTGTACTAAGCCTGCCGCAATCTCAATAGGCTTTTAGATCTCTTGCGCAAATCATTGTCCAGTCTAGCCCTGGAGACTTGAAAGGAAAACAGACATGATGTTAAACTGTAATGTGTTTAGAAAGTTAAACTGAACTTAAAATAACTTCAATTGCGCCTCTAAGTAAGCATAGGGCATACAATAAATAAGCTACTGTGACAGTGGCTAAGTAATGCAAATAAAAAAAAAACGAGAGCACACCAGCAGCTTATCATTGAGGTAAGCTGAATTTCAAGAAGTATTTAACATTGCTTCATCAGTCTGAAGTATTGTTGTTAAAATCACAAAAGATTTCCTAGTTTCCAATATATTGATTATTGAATAATTTCCACATTATTTTATTTCTTTATTTTTAAATAGAAAACGACAATATAAATGCATACATAAACATATGTATGATTATCCTCCTTTATCGACATTACTATCCGCCTTTTCCTTTCAAGATGGCCGCCAAAAAACGTGAGTCGTTATAGACTGTAGCGCCTAAACGAATGTACCGGTTTCAATGAAACTTGGCTAAAGTCTTCTTCTCGATGTCCTTTAAATTTATCTATATAACATACTTCAACGAAAAGAAGCTGGAAAAAAAGTTAAGAGGGATTGTAAAATTAGATTACGAATAACTCAAAAAGTATACACTTTTTAAAGGAAGGAGATGGTCCGGGGTGGCGGTCATAAATAGGCTAAATAGTGGCAAAACTATTTTACTAAAACCCAACGTTTCGACCCGACTTTGCCCGTCTTCTTCAAGGAGATGTGTTCGTTGGGTTTCAATAAAATAGTTTTGCCACTATTTAGCCTACTTATGACCGCCACCTCGGACAATCTCCTTCCTTTATAATGCAACGGCCAACTATTGAATATTCAATATTCACTTTTTTGTTGATATTGCATGATGTATTGTATGATTTTTTTATATAGTTATTTTAAAGTTTACGAAATTTCCTGTAAAGAAAAATCGTAAAAATCTGACAATTAGGAGCAAAGATATGATCAATTAGGAGCAAAGATATGATCAATTAGGAGTTTTTTATATGATTTTTATATGTTCTACTTGGTTGTGTTCTTTGTTTTGATTTTTGATGTGTTATTGAAATAATGCTATTTTTTTTAGAAAATTACCAACGATTAAAAAAAAATGTTTGGTCTAATAATTGAAATAACCTTTTATTACTTTGTCTTTGTCACAAGGAAAATAATGTTACTTTAGATACATAATTGTTTGGAAATAATAAACCATTGTGAAATAATTTGCAGCGTTTGTATATTTATTGCTACTTTTTTAAAAATATTCTACACAGCTACTTTTCTCATACATAAAACCTTCCTACCTAATCACTAACACCCATCGTTTCCTCCATCGGTATATCGACCTATTCAAAAGGATCTTCCTTAAGGAGAGAGAAACGACATAAGGAAATGGAAATGGGTTAATCACAGCCATATCTGAGCCCGTATATGGGAGCCGCATGGAGTCCCGTTAGTCTGGCCACTTCTTAGCCTTATCTACCTCTTCCTCGGGGTCAGCTATCTATGGCTTATAGGTTCTTGACCGCCTCCCCTCAGTGGACTAGGAGAGGAAAAAAAGAGTTGAGATATTCAGAGGAAACGGGGGAAGTCCATTAGCACATGGTATCTTTCAGGTAGGATAGGAAACACTTAGCCTAGAAACTTATTGAACAGTGGATAGGTTTTCATACCGTAGACTAGGTAAAATCAATAGGTCAATAGCTACAATACATTGACAGCAACATAAGATTGATTGGTTTGTTTTTTACGAAAACTTACAACTAGAAATATATAGTGCACTTGAGTCTTAATATTAACCATTAACAGCAGTAAATGTAATAGGAGTATTCATGCAACTAGTGCCAAGTATTGTAAATCTCTTAAATTTGTAAAGTTGAGAAATACTTCAATTATTCGTTTGACATCACATGAACTATTAATTAAATTCATTGGTACTTAAAGAAGGTCAATATTTGAGTAAAATATTTGGCACTCAGAGTAGCATTTGTCCATCTATGAATGAAACTAATACATCAATTTGGAAAAATCCCTAATAATTGTTGTCAGAAATGGCCGCAAAACAGCTAAAAATTTAAAATAATTTCTGGGTAATGCCATTGTTGAAGTCGCTCAAAATTAAACTTACAACAGAAACTGAACACTTGCCTTTATCTGCTCAAGCCTATATGGACCGGACCAACGCTACAGAAATATACAGAAAAGCCAAAACGACCCACATACGAAAACTACAAACCTTTCAGTCAAAAACTTTCAGGACTATAACTACAGCTCCATGGTACGTCACAAAGATTACTCTACATACAGATTTAAACATAGCAACAGTTAACGACTATATACGGAGACAATACAAAAAATTATATGGGCATACTAACACTGCATGAATGTGTTACCTGGTCACGATTAACATGCCCGAAAACATGCTTAGGAGGCTCAAAAGAAGATGGATGAGAGATTTCATCTCTTAAAAATCTTTTAAAATCAAGTCAAGAGGGGATGCCGCTGGGCACTCCTCTCCCTCATGCCGATCAAGCCACTGCCAGTATTCTTCCAGATAGCAGACTCTCTAATTGCCAGTACCTCTGCCCGGTGTGAGTGAAGAAAAAAAGTTTTAAAAAAAATTATAATATGTGTTTGGATATTAACTTTGATAATGATTCAGAATTTAAAGAAAAAAAATGGCATCGTTAAAAATACAACGGAATAAGAGCAAAAAAAAAAATTGCAGAGAGAGTAAATAAAACGAAAACAGTTTTGCAGTGTTATGATTGAAATAATATTTACTGTTTTGAAACAATTGGGACAGATGACATAAAGTGGATATTTAAAGCTAAGGGTGGGTTATTAAATTTCAATTATAAAATATATCACCAAGGTTAACGGCTAATATGCTTGTTATATCATCTAAATGAGGTAGGAAAAAATTTTCATTTTATACCTTTCTGCCTTATATTATCTGAATTAAAAAAAAAAAAATGTTTTATCAATTGAAAAATGAATCGAGCAATTAAATAATTTTATTCTGTCATTATTTAAGCAAAGAAAAAGCCGCTGTTTCATTGCGAAAGTACTACCACGACGGTAACTGTCAAAGTGTAAACGAGGCATAAGCACAACAGATGACAGCTGATTCATCAGTGGCTATGTCGACATCTAAAAGCTAATAAAGCTTCAACAAGATAAGATACCAGTTTCATTTTAATATCTTCCGGGGGAGGAAGAGATCTACATACATAAATGGATTAATTCCTTAGGAGGAAATTTTATATCGAAATAATTAATACCATATTCGAACCATTTATAGAGTGTTGATAATTAATAGAGGTATTAATGAAATATAAATTTATATTATTTATTGCCAAGAAAAGTATTTCAACAATTATTTCAATTATTTGAAACTATTCACAAAAATTACTAAATTGAGATTAACATCATCATTATATACATATAAGCATGCCTCCTATTTTAGAAAAAAATATATTAATATTATTGGATAAAATAATATTTCAACAATGTTTGATAACCTTAAATTTGTCCCTTAAATATAATTTTGACAATTATTGCACAGTTAACTTTAAAAAAAAAAAGATTGGCGTTTCAAACAATATCTTGGAACAAATTATATGTTACATTAGTGTTATGTGTGACTGTATCGCAATACATCTCCTAAAAATTTTATTATTAGATTGCGTTAAAAAACTAGACAATAACTACAACCACAACATAAAATATGTTTAAAACCTCGGAAGATTTAAAACCTCTTTAATAAACGAAATCACGTAACAATATTCGCTGGCCTATTACCACATCAAAGGTAGTTGTGTAACTATATAATTATAAAATACCTACATGCAAATAATAATTATATAACATAAAAACGAATCTGTTACAAAATATTTAGCAGTATATTATTTTCTTTTTCAAAACAAAATCTAGCTTAACATCTAGCTTGAAATAGAGATTAACATCATCACATATAATAGGCATGTCCTCTATTTTAGAAAAAAAATATATTAACATTATTGGACGAAATAATCTTTCAGGAATGTTTGGTAACCTTAAATTTGTCCCTTTAATATAATTTTGACAAAACATATTGCACAGTTAACTTTTTAAAAAAAGATTGGTGTTTAAAACAATATCTTGGAACACATTTGACATTTTTAGCAAAAGAAAACTGAAATTTATTTTTAGTTTTGTGCGTGACTCTATCGCAATATTATCTATTATTATTATTTTCTCTTTACTTCTATCTCATACCTCTAATGTAACAAAATAACCAACTTTATTTTATAGCGTTGTCTTCTCCATTTTTATTTTGATATTTCGGGGAATATTTTTTCTCTCTTTTCAGCACCAAAAATTATTATATGAATAATGCATGCAAGGTTCTATATTGAATTTAAATAATGAAATTTATTTACATAAAATTATTTTATATAGGCATGAATGGGGCTTTTTTCTTTTTTTTTTTTAACCAATTTAATTTTTATTTTATTTCGTTTTTTTTATTTGTATTTTAGCTTGTATATAAATGGTCTGAATGTACACATAGATTCATAATATCATATGCCCTTGATTTGGTAGATTTTATTGTCATTCTTACACTAAAAAAAATCATAAAATAATTTAGTCATAGAAAAATTAAATAAAGAAAGACCAAGAGCATGAACTAATAAAAAAAAAAAAATGAATGATGTTAACTGTAGGAGCTTTTTCCATTTCTTTTATGAATAAAAAAATTAAAATATTTAAACAAAATTATTCAATAAAATATAAAAAAAAACAATTCTCCTCACATATTAATATAATTTTGTCGTAATTTTGTCGTCGTTATTTTTCTCCACTTCTCTCTCTCCGGCGCTAATCTCTTCCAATTGCGAACTCCACTTTATCCTCCCATCTGCTTCTCGGTCTTCCTCTTTTCCTCTTCCCACTGAAGCGTGCATCCAATATTTTTCTCTGCACCCGTTCATTCTACATTCTGACTATATATCCTGCCCATCTAAGCCTACTTGCCTTGATATAGTTAGTAAATTTTGATTCTCTATTATAGCGTCGATTCCATTGTTACGTTTGATTTTCCAATCACCATTAACACTTGTAGCACCGTAAATGCTTCTTATTATTTTCCTTTAGTTTACGGCAATTCTCTTGCGATAAACAACAGGTTTCCGCTCCATAGGTGACTACTGGTCTAATAAGCGTTTTATACAGCTTTATTTTTGTAGCTCTTGACAACAATGGAGACTTGAGAAGTTTTAGGATTGCATAGTAAGCTCTATTACCAGTCATTATTCTGTTGTCTATTTATCTGCTCTTGTCATCTAGACAAACTAAATTATTTATAAATTTACATTATTATAAATTATATTTAAATTAAAATATGGATATTTCTTCTTTAATTCCATAATCTTTGGTAACCCAAACTGTCTTGTTCGTAACGCTTCATCAATAACCATTCCTGGCTACTCTAAGAGATGTCTGAAAAGAAGATGGCCGAGGGACCTCAAAATTAAAATAATCCTTTAAGTGCTACCAATGGGTTCTTTCTGTCGTGATCTGCTATATTATTATAGCAGTTTTAATAATATTATTTATTTTAAAAAACAATGATGGAATGATATTATTTATATTTTTACAACTAATATCAGTAGATATTTTTATTTATTATATAGTCATATAAACCACTTCCTTTTAGATATGTACTAACTAATACAGAACCGCTATGAACCCGATAGATACCGAACAACTCGCTTTTACTTCACAGACTCATCGCTGAACTGATAAATAGCAATAATAAATAATACACTATCAGTACTACAAATAGACGATGAATTCTTGAAAACAGAACAATCGAGTAACCGGTGACAGTTACTTCGTGGAACAGATATCATTTCATTGCTACGGGAAAAGAATTATTTTTAGATCATAAACATGAGAACTGGAACCTTGAAATCTTTTATGAAGGCGCCTATTGTTACTCACAACAAAAGAAAACTGATTATTTTTAGCTTTAATTTAATAAGAAATGAAAGTACACGTTGATTTTATGATCAATCTTTGTGATAAACAATTTATATTTCTTTCATTTTTTTAATGGAATTGCATTATTTCTGATTCTCTTCCACCGAATTTCATTTTATAATTGAATCTATTGTTACTCAGATCTTCTTATTTATTGGCGTATTTCGCTCCGAAAATAAATTTTAGATTTATGATGTATATGCTACCATGATTGTCAGAGAAGTAATTTTGTTTAAGCTAATTTCATTTCAAAAAGTGAAAAATCAATAATTAAAAACCAGAACAGAAACTTGACAATCAAAACATAAGTGTATATAGCTGAAGTGTTCTCGATCAATCTCCGCTGGCTTTAGTACCAGTGATGCGGTTGAGAGAGTAGCGCAGGGTTCTCCTGGAGTCCATAGCTTTAATTTTTTT